GTTACAGACATCTGGTGAAAATTTCATGTCATTAGCACCTCTAGTAATATATTTACTGAGAAAAATGGTGACGTGTTCAATACTTATTTTACCCGCTGCATATTATCAGTCCTTACAAGTTAAATTAAAAACACTTTCTTTTTAGGGTTTAGCCATAAAGAAGTAAATTTAACATTACATGTGTGTTTGTTTAAGTTTCACCCATACAGTTTTATGATGGACCCAAAAGTTGGGCTGAAGCCTTCAGTCACTGCCTCAACACCAACTCCTCCCTGGTGCAGAACATGAACCAGACACTTCTGGATGAGGTGAAGAGTTTTCTGGGAAATAACACAGACTGGCAGGATGGGGTCTGGGTCGGCCTGGAACGGTCCATCTTTGGCACAGACCTGGACTGGATGTGGGTTTCAGACTCCAAAGCTGAAAACCTGAACTGGAACAGCAGCTTTCCTGTTGATCGCTTCAACAACCACTGTGGGAAAATGATCCTGGATAAAGAGTCAAAACAAATCCAGTTTCTGGACGCCAACTGTCATGATGAACTACCTTTCGTCTGTCAAGGTGAGCTGAGTTTGTGATTCAGTCCAATCTGGCTGAAAGTGTTTTCAATTTGTTTTTATTGCTTTGATTTCAGATTTTAGTAGTAAGGATCTCAACAAGGAGGACTAAGATTAAATCATTTCGCAAAAAACAATTCAAATATAATAAATAGTGTCTCTTTTTTTTCAGCAGGTCCAGTTTAAACAGAATCTGTGAAAACTGCACCGACTGATCACCTTACTGTTTATCTGGACAATCATTTCTTACTACTGGTGTTTGAGATCACATTACTTTCTAATAACCATTTCTGATTCATGTATTTATTTATTACCATTGTGTTCTTTCTTTTTATTCTAATATACAAACATTGTATTAAAGTGGCATATTTTTATGCATTTATACAGTTTAAACTAAATATCTCACATTTTTATTTCATTTTAGTTTAATTTAAAATCACAACATTTTTAAAAAGGAGTGTTTTGTTTCTGTTCTACTCCTTTAAAGACAAAACTGTTTAGTTTATAATTCAGTGACAATTGTTCATTTTTGGTTGAGGTGTATTAAACTAGTCATGTACGGTAAACACACACACACACACACACACACACACACACACACACACACACACACACACACACACACACACACACACACACACACACACACACACACACACACACACACTTACTTTAAATAAGTATCTCTTCATTCACATTTATGTCTTTGTCAAGTGTTGGCATTAAAAATAAATTAGCAATAAAGATTTATTTCTATTCTCACTGAGTGTGTGTGCAGGTTTTGTGACAAATGTGTAAAAGCCACACAAAAAATAACGCATCACAACTGGAGAACTCAAACCAAACTGAACTATTTTGGGTAATCCAGTTGGTGACCCAACTATTAGCTGACTGAGTTAATTATCTGTCAAGATATAGCTGTTTTTTAAGACAATTTGATTTTTTTAATTATCTATATGAGTCACACAAAAAGCACTGTGTGACTCATGTAGGTAATAAAAAGCAAAAACTGTGGCTCTTAATAGATAAGACTGCAGTGAAAGCCTTCAAACTGATATTTTCATATAAACATCAGACCTGAAACAATAATCTATTTCCTTAAAATATTACGTTAAACAAACACATTTATTTAAAAGTATTTTCTCATAAAACAGTTCATTCTTGAAAGTTGACTGTTGAGCTTTCAGAATGCACGATTCAAATATTTTCAGAAAACGCTTTCTTGGAAAAAAAAAAGAATTAAAGAAAAACAGATGAGACATTTCTCTGAAGTTACTCAGAGCTGGACATAAAAAAAATCTTGTGTTTAACATGGATTACTTCGATCAGCAAGAGTCCACCATGGAAAAAGTAAGATTTCTTGATTTACATTGTTTTAATGATTTTGTACTAAGTGATGAAGCTAATTTGAGATCTGCTGTTTGACAAACAGCAACTTATAAAAGTCAAATAGTTTTAAATGCATTAAATTGTTGACATCCAATGATTAATTTGACCCGTCACTAGGCGTATTTGACCTGTTATGTGCATTTACTGGCAAAGACTTTTAATGTAAGGCCTCCTCTAAAAACAAGTTTAATTTAAAAGTTATTAGTGAAGTGTTGATATGACAGAATGCTGACATTTGTTTGTTTTTGTCCTCAGAATGATCGTATGTGAAATAAAGTTCAGTTTCCAAACACAAACAGGCTTGGCAGACCAGTAGTGTTTTTATGTAGACCTCCAACTCCATCCAGCTCTGACCGTCCCCCCAACTCCATATGTGTTACCTGATCCCTTTTAAAATGTGCCAATAAAACTAAAATATATTCCTAAACATGTGACTAGAGGTGTTGGAGTTAACAGTTTTCTATTCTGTCAGAGAATCACCTGGTTATCTTACAGCAGCCATCAGGCCAAATCCGACTCTCAATTTGGTTTTGGAAGGATTAAATCCCAACCAAATTAAGATTCTATAATCAGTTCATTCACTCACAATACCTGGTCAAACCTGATTCAGATGCTGGCACAGCAAGGAAACCTGCCGCTGAGCCTGTCAGACCAGTAACAACCAGTGGTGTAGAAACATTTTAGATCCACTCTGCAGACACACCATACACACTTACACCTCTGAGGGCTTGATTTTATTTTGTGCCTAAGCTGACGTTTTGWATCTTAATTCTCTCTATTTGGTTAACTTTTCATATGTTTACTCAAACACTCAGTGTTTTGTTCTTTTTTTTTAATCTTCAATTTAAAAATGTAAAACTGAAACAAGCAGTGAATTTAAACAAAGCAAGTAATTTGAGTAAAAAAACACTTACAAAAAATACAGATTGACACAAAAAAAGGCAACTGAATTAGGCTAAAAAACAAGTATATATTTCACAGTGCTTTATGTAAAAGTCCATAATGTAGCTTTGCCTTTTGATATGTATGTATGTATGTATGTATGTATGTATGTATGTATGTGCATATATATATATATATATATATATATATATATATATATATATATACACATATACACACACTCACACACTGAACAAAAATATAAATGCCCCATGTCAAATATTGTTGCCATGTGGAGTTAACTGTAAATGAGCATTTGCTGACATTTTATTGCACAAAAGTAATATTTCTCTTGATTTGTGTATAATTTTTAATCCAACTTGCTGTCAGTGAGCATTACTCAGCGAGTTGTTTTTGTTACTCAGTGCATGGGTGGGGCATGTCCAGTGGCTGATCAGACAAAATGAGCAACAGCTGGACAATCCTTGGACTGGGGACAATAAAAGGCCAATCCAAAAATGTTAATTTTGTCACAAGTCATAATGCCTCAGATGTCGCAAGTTATGCGGGAGCGTGCCATTGGCATGTTGGATGCAGGGATGTCCACCAGAGCAGTAGCTGCATGTCTCAATGTCCATTATCGGACCATACGCCGTTTAAGAGTTCATAGACTGGTACTACTACAAATCGACCTCATCCTTGTCGGCCACGTGTGACCACTCCAGCACAAGATCACCACAGCCGGCTCGTTCATCTGCAGAATCAGCTAAGACCAGTGACACACACAGCGGATGAGAGTATTTGTCTGCACAACAGACGCATCACACCTCACTGTCCGTAACCGCCTACGAGAAGCCAACTTGCATGCTCGGAGCCCTCACTGTGGTCTGGATCTCACTTCTGTCTGGTGTAGGAACTGACTCGCATGGGCAAATGCACATATCCGATGGCCCTTGGCACACTGGAGAAGAGTGATGTTCATGGATGAATCCAGGTTCCAGTTGTATCGTGCAGATGTAAGACAGTGTGTCTGGCAATGCGTGGGTCGCCCAGCTTTTGCTGGGCCCATGTGGTTTGCAGATGCAAATGTTATGCCCAGGGAAGTGGTGGCATTATGGTGTGGTCAGGCATCACATACGGGCATAGAACACTGTTGAACTTCATTGAAGGAAACCTTAATACACACAGATATCGGGACGAGATTCTCTCCCCATTTGTTGTGTTGTTTGTGTGCCAGCATGACATCACCTTTCAACACGACAATTCCTGACCTCATGTTGCCTGCATCTGCATGGAATTCCTTCAAACAGAGGACATTGATGTTCTGGACTGGCCTGCATATTCACCAGACATGTCCCCAATGGAGCATCTTTAGGATGTTCTGGATAGGTGTGTCTGGGACCCTGTACCAGTTCCAGGGAACATGGGTCAGCTCTGTGTGGCACTCCAGAAGGAATGGAATAATATTCCACAGGCCACCATAGACGATCTGATCAACTCCATGTGAAAATGTGTTGCTCTGAGAGACGCAGTTGGCGGACACACAAGATACTGAAAAATCTAATTCCTCAACCTGACCCCTATCATACCCCTATCATGTACAAAGGACTGTCTATCTGCTACTAAAGGCCATAGCACGATGTTATCAATGGCGATATGAAGATTAGTAATTACTGAAAATATATTTTGAGATTCTCTATATATTGCGTGACCCAAATGTCCGTGAAACTCTTGTTTTTGACATGGGGCGTTTATATTTTTGTTCAGTGTATAACATTTTGTTTGTTGAAGCTGGTAAATTACAGAAAACACTGTTTAATCTCAGGAAAACAGTGCTTTAATGTTTGTAACTTAATGACAATCAGTGTTATCAGTATTCTCAGAAACACTTATTTAAATCATTGATAACTGCTAAGTTGGGACTGAAATTTAAAAACAACTAAAACAGAACAAGCTGCGCTCCTCTTTTATCCCTTTATATTCATGTTAAATAACACCTGATCTCGTCAATCGTCATTCTGGCTCATCTCTCTGAGGCACTCCTTCAGACTCTGCCTCCTGCCTGCAGGAGCGTTCTGGGCAGCCTGCTCCAGCAGCCGCTCCACCTCCTCCAGTCCGGTCACCTTAGGGGTGTTGTGTCGAAACAGGAAGCCCCTGAGCAGGCTGTGGTGGCAGGCCGGGGACAGCAAGCCGCACAGATAGCGCAGGAACATGTCGTAGTGGCCCGGAGCACAGCTGAGGGTTCGAGACAGAGCGCACTGCACCAGACCTGCAGCTGACCGGTTAAACCTGGAGCTGGACTCCAGGACATTCTTAGACTCCAAGTAAAACTTTAGGAAGACGTACAGGGCAGCCATGAACTCCTACAGCAGAGGAAAACAAAGATGATGGTTCAGCTATATGGATTATTTTCAGGTAGTTTTTCATGAATGCTTTTTTTCCCTAAATTATTTAGTTTAATCAGAGAGGTTTTCAAGCAGAAGCAAGTTTTCACCTGAACGGTGTAGTGAAAAAAGCAGAATGTCCTCTTGCCAGGAGTTCCTGTAGAGCGGAGCTCGGTACACAGACCCGACCACACCACCACCTCCCTCAGCTCCAGGTCCAGCTCCTTCACATCCTCCTCAAAGAACACACCAGTGCTCCTCTCCAGCATCCTCAAAGCCAACTTCCCCATTTTTGTCAGCAGCTGTTTCTCGGTGTCGGACCATTTCTGAATGAAAGCATTACAAACTCAGACGCTTTAAAATAACTGTTAGTAAACCTACAGAGCCACGTACCAGGTCGTTATCCATCTGATGGTAGTAGAACTTCAGCCTGCGGTTTGTCTGAACGATCAAAATGTGGATGAGAAACGGGGTCAGCCTGGGAGGGTACCGCCCGTAACCCTCGTAGCAGAAGCTGCGGCCGAACATCGTCGCCACGATCCAGCAGACGAACGGGTGGCGAGCGAGAATGTGAAGTGTCGGCACGCGCTTGTAGTGGCGCACGATGCTTTGCGCCAGCTCCGCGTTGGAAAAACGCTTGGTCAGGTACTCGTCTTTCATCTCGTCACTGGAAAAGACAAAAACAAAGAGATGAAGAGAGATGTTGCTACCAATAAGGTGAATGGACAGTGTGTAAAAGTGTGTATTAATAATAAAACCAATCCACACACACACCTAAAACCCTGCAGCTCTGTGCAAACATCGATGAAGTGAGATGGGATTTGTGAGACGGCAGCTCGTCTCCCAAGAATCCACAGGCGGGCTCCACGAAGCAGGTTCCCTCTGAGGAGGTTTACAACCAGGACGTCTATATGAGCTTTGGTGTTGTTGTCATTTAATACAGGAGTCTTCTGCAGAAACAAACAAAACAGCTCTGGATTTAGATTAATAACCAACTCTTTACCAGGACATGCTAACAAACATCTTGTATTTAAACTTTTCTGATTAAAACATTGATAACTTACAGTCCAAATTATGAGAAGTTTATCTAAATATGAACTGTTGTTTTTCTGGTTTTACTCAACTTCTAATAATATATGAGGTGTTTGTGTGCAGATTGGTTACCTCCCAGTCCAGATTAGCCTGGTAGCAATCAAAAGAGTCCATTATGATGAGAAATTTAGTGTTTTCTTCCTCCAGTAACTGTGTGTATTTTATGTCTGAATAATAATATTCTATCACACCAAAGATGGACATTTTCTCAGGGGGACTGCTTCTACGCCAAACGGACCACAAAGATTGAAATGAAAGTTTGATGACGTACTGCAGATCCTGAGGAGACAAGGTCAGGAAAACAGTTTCAATTAACAAAACAGGTTTTTCTTTACAAGATACAGTCATATGAAAAAGTTTGGGCAGCCTTGTTAATTTTTCCTGATTTACCTTTATAAATCTTTGTTTGGAAAAAAAATCAGTTAAATATATCATATAGGGGACAAACACATTGATATTCGAGAAGTGAAATGACATTTATATGATTTACAGAAAGTGTGCAATAACTGGTTAAACAAAATTAGGCAGGTGCAAAAATTTGGGCACCAAAAAAACCCTCAACTCAATATTTAATAGATCCTCCTTTCACAGAAATAACATTCTCTAAATGCTTCCTATAGCTTCTAATGAGAGTCTGGATTGTGGCTGAAGGTATTTTAGACCGTTCTTCTTTACAAAAGATCTCTAGTTCATTCAGGTTTGATGGTTTCTGAGCATGGACAGCTCTCTTTAAGTGACACCACAGATTTTCAATAATATTCAGGTCTTGGGACTGAGATGGCCATTCCAGAACGTTGTACTTGTTCCTCTGCATGAATGCCTTAGTAGATTTTGAGCAGCGTTTAGGGTCGTTGTCTTGTTGGAAGATCCAGCCCCGGCTTCAGCAGCTTCAGCTTTGTCACTGATTCCTGGACATTGATCTCCAGAATCTGCTGATATTGGTTAGAAGCCATGCGTCACTCAACTTTAACAAGATTCCCAGTCCCTGTACTGGCCACACAGCCCCACAGCATGATGGAACCACCACCAAATTTCACTGTAGGTAGCAGGTGTTTTTCTTGGAGTGCTGTGTTCTTTTTCCTCCATGCATAACGGCCCTTGTTCTGCCCAAATAACTATTTTAGTTTCATCAGTCCACAGCACCTTATTCCAAAATGAAGCTGACTTGTCCAAATGTGCTTTAGCATACCTCAAGCAGCTCTGATTGTGATGTGGGCGGAGAAAAGGGTTCCTCTGCATCACTCTCACATACAGCATCTCCTTGTGTAAAGTGTGCTGAATAGTTGAACGATGCACAGTGACTCCATCAGCAGCAAGATGATGTTGTAGGTCTTTGGTGCTGTTCTGTGGGTTGACTCTGACTGTTCTCAACATCCTTCGCTTCTGTTTAGTCCAGATTTGTCTTGGTCTGCCACTTGGAGCCTTGACTTGGAACTGTGCCTGTGGTCCATTTTCTCACAATGTTTCTCACAGTGGAGACTGAAAGCTGAAATCTCTGAGATAGCTTTCTGTATCCTTCCCCTAAACCATGACGGTGAACAATCTTTGTTTTCAGCTCATTTGAAAGTTGTTTTGAGACTCCCATGCAGCCACTCTTCAGAGAAGATGCAAAGAGGAGAAAAACCTACAATTGCCCCCCTTAAATACCCTTTCTCATAATTGGAGTCACCCGTGTATGGAGGTCAAGGGTCACTGTACTTACCAAACCAAATTTGTGTTCCAGTAATTAGTTCTAAAGGTTTTGAAATCAATAAAACGGCAACGGTGCCCAAATTCCTGCACCTGCCAAATTTTCTTTAACCAATTATTGCACAATTTCTGTAAATCATATAAACTTAATTTCACTTCTCAAATATCACTGTTTGTCCCCTATATGATATATTTAACAGATTTTTTTCCAATCAAAGATTTATAAAAGGTAAATCAGGAAAATTAACAAGGTTGCCCAAACTTTTTCATATGACTGTAGATCCTCATTTCGGTGCAGTAAATAACTTTTATGACCATGTTTATTAAAATAAATTCACACTCATTTGACCCTGTGTTTCAGAAGTGTCAAATTATTTGCACCAAATGAATCAAGACTTTTAAAACTACTAAAATTGAGTTACAAACTGTTCAACTTTGAATAGCAGTCAATCAGTCAGACAATGAATGTCCCAAATGATCAAAAAAGTATAAAAATGTATCCAAAGTGGGACCCTATTTAAATGTTAAAATATAATCTTTTACATGTATAATGTAAAAACAACTCAAAGTACCTGGAATTAATGATGTGTAATTTAAAACAGCACATAAGTGAAACAAAAAGTTTTCAGTTTGCTATGAAGCATAGAAACTAGACTTTGAAGCAGGGTCAAAGTCGTGCAGTTTGAGTGGTCCAAATTTACCTCAGTTCATATCTATTATATTTAATAAAAGTTTTAAGACCCACATCCAAAATATTGTGAAGAAACTTAAGCTTCTTTTTTCAAAATAATTTTTTTTTCCTTTTACAATTAAAAAGCGGCTTGTCTCAACAACATTTTATCCATTTTAGATTATGGAGACGTGTTATATATGAATGCCTCAGCACAATATCTTTAAAAAATTGATTCCATCTATAATGCTTCTCTGAGGTTTATTACAAACTGTAAAGCCTCAGCTCATTGTGATCTGTACACTTGAGTGGGAGGGCCTTCTTTGTCCACCAGGAGGTTGGGACATTGGTGCATTTTTGTTTATAAGGCTTTGCTTGGGCTGCTACCATCTTAAAGCTGTGATCTAATCACACAAAAAAGCATTGATGCATACTCTGTATTCAAATGATCATTTCTTGCTCTCTGTCCCATTTCTCTGTACAGAATTGGGGAAAAGGGTCTTTGTTTACTCTGCCCTGTCTACATGGAACATGTTGCAAAAAGTCTGGAAGTTAACTGAGCTGATCCCATTGAGCACCTTTAAAGGCTGAGTTATACTCACGCTTTGGTCTGCAGGCTCAGTGCACACGGAGTCTGCGGGCACTAAGCCAAGTGGCTTCTGCGTTTATACAGAGGGGTGCGAAAGTTTGGGCAGCATTTTTCTACTTCTACACCCGTTTCTTACAACCTATGTACAGGTTTTAGAGCATAACAACAGCACTTTGTATAAATACAGCTGCACAACTACAGTGGGGTGCGAAAGTTTGGGCAGCCTTCTTCATTTTCCTGATTTACCTCGTTGACTGTTTGGATAAAAAAAATCCATTAAATAAATCATATAGGGGACAAACAGTGATATTTGAGAAGTGAAATAAAGTTGAAATGATTTAGAGAAAGTGTGCAATAATTGGTAAATGGACTGTACTTGTATAGCGTCTTTCTACCCAACCAGGATACTCAAAGCTCTTCACACTACAATCTGTGTCCTCATTTACCCATTCACACAGCACTCTACTAGATCTCCTACAAAGCTAACATGAACAATCATCTGTGGAGACTAATCCGTGCCAATCACATTCATACACTGATGGGACACACATCAGAGGCTTTAGGGGTTAAGTATCTTGCCCAAGGACACAATGTCTGAGACAGATGGACGGGGGATCAAACCGGTGACCTTCCGATTCCAGGACAACTCCCCTAACCACTCTGCCACAGCCGCCCCATAATGTTAAACAAAATTAGGCAGGTGCATAAATTTGGGCACTGTTGTCATTTTATTGATTTCAAAACCTTTAGAACTAATTACTGGAACACAAATTTGGTTTGGTAAGTGCAGTGACCCTTGACCTCCATACACAGGTGACTCCAATTATGAGAAAGGGTATTTAAGGGGGGCAATTGTAGGTTTTTCTCCTCTTTGCATCTTCTCTGAAGAGTCGCAGCATGGGAGWCTCAAAACAACTTTCAAATGAGCTGAAAACAAAGATTGTTCACCGTCATGGTTTAGGGGAAGTATACAGAAAGCTATCTGAGAGATTTCAGCTTTCAGTCTCCACTGTGAGAAACATCGGGCCGCATGCAAGAACATGTTCGTATCCTAAATCCTATCCTAAATTTCTCTCTTTTGTTCTCTTACTTTTGTTCGTATGAAGGGTTCGTACAAACATGCCACGTCATATTTAACAAACTCTTCTATCTTCAGGAAAAGTGTGTAAATGAGCTGCGTAAACATGATGAATTCCACCTGTTCGTATCCAGCTGCTCGTGCACGAGGAGAGGAGATTAGCAAAATTACCACCCCAAAAGCACCTTATAAGGCTGTTTCCTGCCTCAGATACCAGGAAGTGTCCGTTCATGAAAATTACAGCGAAAAGTAAAAGAAGAACTTTACGAGTTCGGAGATTGAGAAAAGAAAATCTATCCTTTTAGCCGCATCAGTCGTGGAACTAAAGGACCAGCTAAAGCAGAGGAATGAAATGACTGCTGTTAATGTCTCCCGTGGGTTATATACAGACTCAGAAATAAAAATCTAAATCATATTCATCTCTCTCTAGTCCTGCTCCGACTTTTCTTAGGTCAAATATTTTTAATTTAAGTGTAAACAACTGTGTTACATAGTTTTCATTTATTCAGAGGAAGAGTGGTAATGTATATATTTTTTCTGCTGGTTCAGAAATATTCTGATGCCTGGACTCAGACTCAGACTGTGAAAACGTGGTTCAAGCTTGAACTGATCACAGATTCAGATCTGGACCCACTGACTCACTGGGATGTGCTGGAAAATGACTTTATACAGTGGTCCATAAGGATCAAGCAGAGTTGAGTGCAACTCTAGATAGAAATAAATTCATGACATTGCATATGTTTACATACAGGTTAGCATGAGACGTAATCAATTAAAAATGGTTTTATAAAACATTAGATAGATTTAATAAAAATATTGTAAATATGTCTGGATTTGGGTTTAGCTCCATCAGGTTTCTGCCGTTTCAGTTCATTAAGTAACTGTTTCAGCTTTGTTTTCTGTTTGGTTCCGATTTTAAATTGTTTTAATTTAAATTAGTATAAAGTGTGTGAGATACGTTTTTACTCAGATCTTACCCGATTGGCACGCTGCTCTGCCCAGTCCAGGCAGAACTTGGCCACAGAGACAGACATCCCGACTCCTGGGATCCCGGTGGTCACCACTGTCCTCACCGGCGACCCATCCTCTTTCTGCAGTCGGAACAGATTGCTCACACTAACAAAAGTGTCCTCACTGGGGACTTGGACAGGCGTCGGAGGTTGTGTTGGGAACTCGTGAGAGGGGTCGACTCCTCCAAATCCACAGGTGGAAAGCTGCTGCTCCACGTAGACGTTATTTAGAAGACTCTGCTTCCCAGCTTGAACCACCCCCTCGTGGATGACTTGGTGTTTTCTGAATAAAATGCTTTTCAGGTGGAAACGCAACAGCGCTGGTGGTAAAAGAATAAAAAGACAAAGAAAACTTTTAAAAAATTAGATGCAGGATCCTGCCTTAGAAGAGTAATCAGTGTCTTGAATTGTTTCGCTTCTGGGGGTGGTTGCATTTTCTTCAAACATTCACACAGGAAGAGACTTTCTATTTAAACGTTGTTTCATAAAATATTAAAAATAAGTTAATAATAATAAGACATGTCTATTTTAAAATAAACAGGTGCATATGTTTGCTTTGTATGAATTTACCTTTCTGGCACTGATTTTGCAGTTCTGCTGCCTTGTCCTTCTTCTCCATGCTTTGGAGAGTGTTTATCGTGTTGAACAGAGCTTTATCTGCACCTGCAGAGCACAACAGGAACACAAATAAATGAGCTGTCAGGTAAATAGAACAAGGAATAAAAACCATCCGAGTTTTGTTGTCATTAAACCAGTGAACTTTACTATCAGTGACACAATAACTACACAAAATTAAAATATTTACTTTAAAACTTCACGTCTTATCAGGAGTTATTCTCTCTCACATTGTCGGAACCATGAGTCTGTTTGCTCACCGTGAATCTCAATGGCCTTGTCTACAAAGTCGAGAAGATCTCCTTCCATCACCTGCTGTATGACGTTGCTTGGCTGCCATTTGTGAAACCACAACTTAAACTTGAAAAGGTCCTCGTCGTCGAGGCGACTTAACGTGCTCTGCATGCTCTTCAAAGAGAAATAAAAACACACAGTGTCGCCTTACACAAAGAACATTTGCACCTTGTTTATGAATAAAAGAAAATACTGGCTTAACAACAGCTGAATAAATGAATGAGCATTATTAGATTTATACACGCCAAGTTAAAACTCATCCTGAACTCAACAACCAACAGTAATTTCAGTAAACAAAACAACAACAAAAAACAAGAAGTGTGTTGAACTAACTTTGAATATGTGAGGCAGATCCTGCTCCGGGTGAAACCTGCCTGGCTGGCCGTGCTCATCTACCTGCCTTGGATCTTCCATTTCGAGGGGCTCAGGTGGTTCTGGAGAACAAGTTACCAAACGTTCATCATCCTCGTCCATGTCTGACTCCGTCGACTCCTCCGGTTCATCGTTGCTGAAAGAACAAAGGTCGTTGGGTGTTTTATTTTAGGCGAGCGGTACATTTTAAGAAAACAGAACATGTCTTTTTAAGATCTAGAGCTAAAAGTATTACATTTTAAAGACGAGTAATTTTTTACAAATGTTCTGGTACACAGTATAAGAGTGTTTAAGTGTGTGTCCTTTACCCAGTATCAATGACAAAAGCTCCAGTAGGTTTGGTTTGCTGTGTGGCTTCAGTGTGAACAGTTTCTGTATACGCCGAGTACATCTGCCTAGACCTGGAAAACATCAAATTACTGAAGAACTGTAGGACGGCTTTATCACAATAGTTACTTCAAAGAAGTGAACTTTGCAACAAACTTTAGAACAAGCATCTGAGAAAGGATGTTTGTTTGTAGAGTACAGTGTAAAAGACCTGAGCAACAAGACATTCGTGTGATATTTTCAAATGGTTCTGATAATCAAAAAATGTTCTGAAGGGCTTTCAAACATTTGCTTTAGACTTTGACTGCTTTTTCACTCATCACCAAAGGGAAGTCTTACTTCTTGTAAACCCTCTTAACTCTGATCTGTGAATAATTCAGACAAAAACAGGGTTTCTGAACTAAAGATATGAACTTGATAAATGACTTGTTGTAGCTCAAAAAGGACCTTAGCCCAGAAAGATCATCACAAAGACAGAATTTGTTCCAATTTATTTGGTCTTACCTATGAAAAATACACGAAAACAGAAGTTTCTACCTCCAGTAAGATGAACCCAAATAGCTGAAAACATCACAGTCGACCAGCTGAAGGATGATGAATCTCAGGTCCTGTTTCAGGTTTTTACTGGATTTGTTTTTACCGTTTCTTAAAGATAAAACCTTTAACCGTTTTAGATCAAGTTATTTCATGATCAAGCACTGAACAAAATTGATTTTCAGATTATTTTTAAAATAGTTATTCGGTGAAAAGCTTTTGCACATTCACAATCCAAACAGAACAATGACATCCTCTAGTCACTTATGTGGCGGAAGGCTAAACTGAAGCGCAGGGGTGGATCGGGGTTTTGGAGTGGCGGCCCCCCAAACTCTGGAATAACTGGCTTCTCAAGAATTTAATCTGCAGAGTCTGTTCAGTTGTTCAAATCCTGTCTGTGAACTCTTTTTTGTTTTTATACTGGCTTGAAATCCAAGTTTGAGTTCCATCAGAAGTTTGGAGTTGTGTCTATTTCCCTATTTTTAGCCAATTTTAATAAACTTACTGTTTTAGTTGTTTGGTCTTTTCATTTTATTGTGCTTTTTTTCTCCTTGTGAAGCACTTTGATCAACACTGTTGTTTTTATTTGTGCTCCATAAAGAAATCGACTGGTTGACTGACTGATTGAACATTAAAGTGCAATGTTTCGAAATATCTTGGAAAGAAATTGTACCCCAAACTCTCTTATTCTGTTTAAGTTTAAGTCTTCTTCAGCACACAGTAATACATTTTGAACAAACACACCCCATACAAATATGCAGCGCCACTGGATCAGAGCATGATACATCTGTTCATATTAATCATTTTTCTGCTCAGTCAAGTTAGCAGATGAATAAACTAAACCCCAATTTAACACTTACAATGAATAAATGCACATAAAAGGTTTTGAGAGAGGTAAAACTGTAAAAACGTGTGGGTTTGATAAAAGGCACCACAAAGATGTAATAGGCTCAGATTAATTATAATTATAGATACAAAAATCAGCCAGTTTAATCCAAATCTGGTCAGTTCGTCCACAAACAAAACACAGACTCAGGTATAGGGTAAACAGAACAAAGCAAAGGTTAAACCAGCTGTTGTGTGAAAAATGCACAAAAAAAACAAGTCAGAACATAAAATTTGAGAAACATACCCAACAACTGCAGGAGCAGCAGGAGGATCCGACAGCACAAAAACTGTCTTTTTACTTTCAGCTTCTCCCTTCTTCTCTCCCTCCTCCTCCGAGCTTTCACTGTCGCTCTTCATTGAACCATAACTGGAGGGGGGTCTCTTATACCTCTCCTCATCATCATCATTTTTTGCAGCTGCAGTGCTTCAGAGATGCAACAAAAGTGTTAGTAATGCTTTGGGATTGTAATACACTTTATTACCTTTCACATATAAACAATATCAGAATAACAATACTGCGTACCCTGAAAGACAGGTTCATCATTAAACTTCACTGAAACTTTATCATTTCCCTTCAGATGAGTCTCTTCATGTACAGAACTCTGTTAACAATTCACAAGCTCCTCATGAGCCTTGTTTTTAGGTGGTAACACTTTTTCAAATGTACATTTAAGGTAAACAAGTAATGAACTTCCAGGGAGGTTTAATTTAAAAAAGCGATAAGCTGAAAACATTTTGTGAGCCTGGGTAAAAGATATAAAATTGTTTCATTTTAAGTTTTCAATTCAATATTGAACACAATAATTTGACACTTTTTATTATTAACCTCTATTTAACCAGGCAAACTCTATTGATTAAGATTTCTTTTGCAAGGGACTAAAGTTAACAAAAATAGTTTAGAAAATGTAAAATGTTTAAAGTACCTGCAGATGAAATGTAAATAATATAAATCTGACTGTCGTGCCATATGCATCGGAGTTATTATTAGCAATGGCTGATCACATTTAATCAGAGAAATGACCAGTTAAATAAAACAGCTGGAAGGAAAACAGGACATTTAGCTTGAGTTTGATAATATAAATTAACCTAAATGACTCTTAACACAGCTGCACTTTTTTTAAAATATGCCTTTGCGATGTTTTGAATTAAATAAAAAATGACCACCTACTTTTGTACATCTGTGCGCCGATCCATACTTGACAGATTGTCGACACTTCCAGGCTTCAGACACCGAGGGTGTTTCCTCCCGGTTTACTTAACTCTAGCATTCAACCACTCCTTGTTTTTACGGATATTTTAACTTCAGTCTACGTTAACATACCTCATTCAATGACAAGCGCACTTTTAACTTCAAAATAGATAAACAACTTGTAAAAAATAGGCCATTTTCAACTTCAGCCAAGAATCTCAACTTTCACTTCCTGGTTGTTTTACGGCGTCATGAAAAGGTTGACTTCCGCTGGCGCGTTTCAAAAATAAAAGTACAACCTTTACAAAAAAAAAAAAAAAAAAAAAAAAAAAAAATTGTGGTTTTCATAGACTGAGGTCCCAGGTAAACACTGATTATACTCTCATGGTGGTTTTAGTCAATAAACTGATTAAAGAAATAGTACTGCATACACTGATCATTTCAAAACACGTATCTAAAATTTACAATATTGCTAAACGTTATTTTTTCACTTCTTTTAGACACACCCTACAGTATAATTTGTATTTATGTTGAGGCATAAATCTGTTGTACCAATACTTATATTTAAGTATAATAGATTATAAAGCTACAGTATTTTAACTACAACTTTAATTAAAAAAATGTTTTAGTTTTATTCTGAAGCCTGAGGGCTCATACAGGAAGTACAATGTCATATTGATCTAATCTGATAAATGCACTTTTTATTCTCCCCTTTCATCTGGCAAACAGCAGTCATCAGTTTGATTATAACTTCAAATCAAACCAAATATAAGTTTTAAAACTGTAATTCATCAAATTTACATAAATTTGTTAGTTTTTTTGTTTTTTTAAAACACATACAGAAGAAAGGAGATTCTGTCATCAGGTGTTTTCTTCTTACAACCCTTAAACTAACTGAGTTCCACATGTAAAAAAGCAATTAAATGCAAATCTTGTTGAGAGGCTGTCACCAATGTGTGCCACATTCTTAAATCTGGTTAAAAAAGTAGAATGCAGTGAAGTACTCAGTTTTATTTTTATTCATAACAATGTAAAATTTTAAAACAAAGATAGGGTGCAGACGAGAAAAAAAAATTGTGCAAAAGCAATATAATCAGAAATTGTATAAGATTAAAAGAAATTGTAAAAGATTGGAGGAAAAAAGTACAATCTGACACAAAGAAGTCTTCAAATTTTAATCCTGCGCATCATCTGTGGAAGAAAAGAAGTAAAAATTAGGGTCATGCTTTACAGGTATTTCAATAACATGAACACAACACATGAAAACAAAACAAAACAAAAAAACCTTAATCTTATGATGCTAGAAGTCCACACCCATTTACTTATGAAGTGGGAAAAAATCTGAGTTATTACACCATGATGTGAGAACCAGCCTTAATAAGTGAAAACAAAGACCTATAAATAAACATCAACCTTCTTGAACTTCCACAAAAGCTGCATCTGTTTTAGACCCCTGTTTCTGAAACAAAGATTAAAATTCTACAATTACACACCATTATGGCTAAATCTGTCATTACGTCCATTTGTTTCAATAGTTAGATCATTGATAGTTTGGATTATATTGTTTTTTAAACTGAGTCCAGCAAAGGAAATAAAAGGTTTGTTTGATTTATTCATTTTGATATTGCAGGCTAAATGGAGCAAGGATCGTGTCGACTGACTATTGAGAAAATAGGCCTGTTTTTGTGCTACTGAGGTCATTTACACTAATGAGTACCACACAAAGACCACCTGTTGTGGACCTGTTCAAATCAGTTCAAGGAAAATATGCAATAATTATCAGATTTAATTCAGGTTTATCCTTTAATATTACTAGGTTAAACTACCGCACTGTTTAGCTGCAGCTCAATTCTTCAAGCAGGAATGGTTATGAGAGTTGAACGCATCAGTCTGGTTACCTTGCGAGCACTTGCAGTGAGTCCAGGAGACTTGGCCGACTTTTTCTTTGCCGACTGCGGTGACTTATAACTGCCACTTCTGGTAGCAGGAGATTTACAAGAAGAGCCGCGCAGTTTATTCAGCTTTTTCTTCAAGTTGTTGTTGCTCTTTGGTGTGTTGTCGATCGTGAACATCATCGACTGTCTCCTGTTGGCCTGAGATTATTTTCAAAACCAACCGTTAGTAAACTATTCAAGAACTTGTAAATGACTGCTTTGTCTCAGTTTTCAATCAGACACTGAATGCTGTGTTCAAGTGCAGATGTTTTACTCACGGGACTGATGGTTGGTCCGCTGCTTACATTCCTCATTTTGGGAGTCAGCGGACGAGGGAAGCAGCTGACTCTAGTCTTTTTCTGAAAATTTACATAAAGATAAACAATAAAAGCAGGTGGTTTTAGTAAATTAAACACACTATTTTAATCACTTTTACATGAGTAAATAATTGCTGACAGTCCAGTAAGAAATCACATTGAAAAAGGCAGTTTAAAAGATGTTGCCATACATTTATATATAGTGATTATATACAGCACTTCAGTTTAGTTAGAGCCTTAAGTCACAATGTAAAAAAAAATAAAACAAAGTATATATTTTTCTGTGTAGTTTACTACAAACCAACCTCAGGAGACTTCTGATGTACAGACAGTGAGGATGAGGATTTGCCCTTTAGACTCTGCTGCTGACAGGAGCCGCTTCTTTTAGCTGGCAGCTGGCCCGGCATCAAGGAGAGGCGATGAGAACGAGTGGTGACCCCCGCCTGACCCAACATGAGAGACTGGCGATGAGAGGTGAGGGAGTCCTGCAGCTGACCCGGAATCATCGATCCACGTCTGATCGTGTCTGACGGATCCCCGTGGCGGAGCTCCTCGTCTGTACACATGAAGGCCGTGCTCCCTCCGGTCTGGGGGAAATAGAGGGATTTCATGAAAAGAAACATTTGTTATATGTATTCTAGTATTCAAACCACTGAGACTTTTCCCCTCTTCTCACCTCAAACTCCACAGGGTAGCTGCTCTTCAGATGGGGCAGGCAGGCCTTGTTCCTGGACTGAAGCTCTGCAATCCTCAGCCAGTCTTCTGGTCCACCGTCAGGTTCGTTTTCTGCTCCCACACAGAATGTGCCAGTGGCTGAAGGTAAATTCATGCAGAAAAAAAGGAGAGAAAAGTTGATCTATATATTTAAAGTTCATTAAAATTATTCTACTTCATCCAAAATTTCTTTAAGGCAGTTTTAGCCGCAGTTTATACATTTAAACTTTTTAGTTGTGTTTATCTAAAACTTTTTGTTTTAGATAAACACAAGAGGCAGAAAAAGTCTAATTAAGGTATTTGTTTACTCTGTGAATGGATGGTGCTTCGTCTGTAGCCCGGCAGTCCGACGAGCTGGTCCTTGGCAGCACCAGTCGTACTCACTGGTCTGTCGGAAAGCTCGGGTCTTACAGAGCGGGAACAGGAGGGTTGTTGGTGGGAGGACAAAGTCGTCACGCTGTGGAACGTTTCATCCTCCTCCTCACAGGAGCCAGACATTTTCTACAGATCAGAAGTTATAGGTTACTGCTGAGCAGAAGGTTTTAGACAACATTTAGTACGATGGTTAAAATCTGGAGGAATTAGAGTATTAAACAATAAAAAAGTGGAAACAAAGACATTAGAAAGTGGAGAAAATTAACAGAAAATGTGCAGTTTTTTTAACCCTTAGGATTTGTGTAGGGCTGCAACAACGAATCGATAAAAATCGATTATTAAAAGCGTTGGCCACGAATTTCAATATCGATTCGTTTTGTCACGCGATTTATGCGTCTCTCGCCATGTCGCGGAGCCGTTTACGTCACCCGCAGAGCGTCCTCAATGCTGGCTGACCTAAATAAAGTTTGGGAAGGAAAAAAAACTCTACCTGTAAAGATCCGCCCTCTCTGAGACCCTCGAGTGAAAAGTAGAGACTTTGAACTGTAAACCAGTTTTTAAATTGTGTTGTTAGGCCAAGTAGATCCGAAATTATGATAAAAAAGTATCTGCCACGGTTAATGTTTTTAAAAGCCGGTCTGATTTGATGCGAGCCGCTTTTTTTTTTTAAGGAAGAAGCACGTCAAGTGACAAAAAAAGGTACCTCAGTCCACCATTTGTTTCCTCCTCTCAGGCCAGAAATATAAAACCCTCATCTTTTTTTTTCTGATCGCGAGCAGAACTCCTGGTCTGACTCAGTAGGGGGGAGGAACGGGAGGCTGCTTCAGAACCACTTACTGGGTTATTTTAGCCACAGACAAAACCAACAAGAAGGAAGCAAAACATAAAGAGTTAGAGAAAAATCATTAATTCTAAATGCAAATAAATTCTAATTATAATAATAAATTAATAATAGTTTTACGTCTAAAACGTGCATTTTATTCTTTTTATCTGTTTTCCTCATTCAGAAACCTATTAAATTTCTGTTTTTTATGTTTTATAGCTATAACCAAGGTTATTAGAAATCCATTTTTGTTTTTTTTTCCAGTCAGTGTTCAATACGGCTGGCAAAATCAATTGTGAAAATATTTATGATGCGCTTCTTTTTTAATTTAGCATATTATTTAAAAAAATCCTTCGTTTTATGAAAAGACCCTCTTGATTCAATAGAAAACTGGTTTTTAAGAAAATGGCTCCTTATCAATTAATCGTTAGTCAATCTATTAGATAAATCAACTTCAGACAACTACACATTAATCAATAACTTGCATCCCTAATTTATACAGGAATTAAATTTATTTTTATCTACCCATATTTATGTAAATAAGCGTTTTAATGATTTGGCCGATCAATCGATTAATGGAAAAAATAATCGACAGATTAATCGATTATTAAAATAATCGTTAGTTGCAGCCCTGGATTTGTTATAAATGATGGAGAATCTTCACAAACATGAACATGCAAGGCACGCACCTTGGTCATGGTGATGTTAATAACCTGTGTCATTCTGCGCCTCTTCACAGATGATGCTGGGGTTTTCTGGGCTGAGTCCAGCTCACTGTCAGACGTTGCACTTCTAGGTAATGAAAACAAACAAAAAATTATTTTAAAAAAGGGGTTTTAAAACAAAAAAAACAAATAAACTTGTTCTAAACAAAAATCCACTCCAAACTGATGCTTATGGCAAAGTGTAGCAGCAGAACTCCAATTTGGCTTTTATTTTAAGTCAGAACCAATGAAAACAGCTAATTGTTTATTGTGTTACTTAGTCCTTCAAATGTCCAAATGTAATCAGAATACTTCAATGTTATTTTCTCCAAGTTATTAAACAGTCCTAAAACCAATTGATCAGCATAAAAACACAACTTTCTTACCTTTTAATCTGTCTGCTGTTAAGCGGAGTAAAGTACAATGTTTCCAGTGACTCGGCCTCAAAACCTCTGCGTTTCTGTGCCAATCGTTGTGAACTGCGAAGGAGCGGTGTGCTCGATATATCAGGTGCTGACAGTTTCCTGCAAAGATAAAGAAAATTAGTCTTACAAAATGTTCACACTTCTCATTAAACCTCCAAAGCAACTATATTTATAATAGGGATCAGACACAACCAAAAGCAGAAGGTACTACCTACCCTTTACTGGTTATTTATTTTTACGTTTTTAACCTATTTGTGCCACTTCTCTAATCTATCATTCATTTATCCTTGTAAGAATGATCCAGAAATCTACAATAAATCCTGCTTTTAACAGGTTTTCTAAAAAGACAGAGCTCAGTTTATTTCCCACCTGACAGCCCAGACTTTACCTGGTAACGTTCAGAGAATCCTCCAGAGAGCTTTGATCCAGGCTGTCAGAACTCCTGCTCTTCCTCAGCTGAGATCTGGTACCAACACCTGGACGCGTCACATTACTCTCACTGCCCTGAATCTTATTTTGTGCTCTTAGAGTTTGATCAGCGTAAGCCAACTAAAAACAAAAACACATCAAAATGCAGATTAGAATAAAATGCAGCTATTTACCCTACAAGTCAATAACTCTAACTTCAGCTTGGTTTCGTCTCAACATTTGCCACCGACCTGTGCCTCCAAGCTGGCCACCATGCTCAAAAGTTTTTTCTCGTTGTTCTGCACTTTGTCTAAATCCACTTTAAGAAGCTTCTTTTCCATGATCAGAGCATTTGTTTCGTGTTCTTTGACCTCCAAAGACTGTCTGAGTTCCTTCACTTCCTCCTCGCTTTTTTGGAGAAGCTGCTTCTTGCTGTTATAATGGCTCACAGCTTTCTCCATCTGTGGCATTGTGAAAACAAAACACAAACACTATAATGAATATGTCATTTCAGACTCTTCAAGAGTGAAAACAAATTTAGTTCAGTACAAAAGAGAGGCAGCTGTTAAGGGGACAGGTAGAAGTCTGTAAGTATATACATTTACAGATATAAAAGTGGTGAAACTTTATAATGTTTGTGGTTGCACCAACCTGAGCTTTGTAATGTTCCACAGCCTCTGATTTAGCTGCAAGCTGCTGCTCCAGACCCTGCTTCATCTCAACTCCTCCTGCAGTCTCGCTCTCCTTTTTCAGTACTTCAAGCTCCTTTTGTAAAGCAGATTCCAGCTTGTGAGAGGCTCTGATCTCTCTTTCCATGGCCTGATTGGAGTGAGTCAGTCTCTCCTTCTCAGTGACGAGGGCTTCAAACTGTTTTCTTAGAACTTCCTGATCTGTCTCTGCCTGGAGAATCTTGGCCTGGAGCATTTCTTTCTCCACAACAAATATGTCCTCTTTAGCTCGGATTTCTCGTTTCAACTGCTTCACCTGGTCCTCAGAAACATCACAGTGTTTTCTTAATTCTTCAATCTGCAGAGTGCTCTCATGCAGTTGTTGCTGCAGAAGCTCCTTCTGATCAGCACTCTCCTGCTCCTGCTGCTTCAGCAAAGCCAGCTGAGTTTGGGCTTTCTCCTCAGCTTTTCTGAGTGACTCCCCAGTATGATCCAGCTGTTGTTGCAGACGTTTGATTTCTTTTTCTTGCGTATCAGAGTGAATGGAGCTCTCTTCTTTCAGGGAAGCCAGTTGATTCTTTGCAGTCTGAATCTCTTCTTTAAGTTTTCTGATTTCCTCCTCAGAGGTTGTGATTGTATTTTGAAATGAGTTCTTTTCCTGAGAAAATACCATTTCTTTCTGAACCAGCAGGTTTTCTTTAGCCTGAACCTGATCTGTTGCAGTCTTCAGAGATTCACTCAAACACTGAACTTGATCCTTGAGAGCTTTAATCTCATCCTGTAATGCTTCTACCTCATTGTGGTGATCTGATTTTAACACACTGACTTCATTTTCCTTAGTTTGGATTTCCTGCCTCAGCTGGTTCACTTTGTCTTCAACTACTGAGCTGTGTTTTCTTAATTCCTCAATCTGCAGAGTGCTCTCATGCAGTTGTTGCTGCAGAAGCTCCTTCTGATTAGCATTCTCCTCTTCCTGTTTGACCATCAGATCCTCTTTGGTTTTAACCTGGTTCTCAGCAGTCTCGAGGGAATTAGAGATGGTTTTTATCTGAACGTTTAGAGCTTCAATCTCCTGCTGCAGTAACTCAGAGTGTGCAGAGGTCTCAGACCTCAGCTGAACCAGCTGCTCATCTTTAGTACTGATGTCTGCAGTCAGTCTCTTCACCTCATCTTCAAATGCTCCCATCTGCCTCTGCAGAGCCTCCAGGTCCTTAGAGCTCTGTAGTTGCTGCTCAACAAACAGATTTTCCTTGACTTGTAACTTCTCTTCAGCTTCTTTCAGTG